AAAGTGCATTTTAAGCCCACATGCGATATCGTGTGTGGTGATAGATTTGTCGCACAATATTTACATTTTCAACGTTAACATTACATTCACTTACGCAAGATAAACGCAACCACCCTGTGGATATGAAGAATGAAAGTCATTATAAATGACATATTCATTATTGGTATATATGACTTGACCCAAATCATTCATAATCGCGTCGATGTAATAATCACCTACAATAAATAATAACAAATTACAAATAAATGATAATATACAACAACTAATAATAACATTAAATAAAATACAATAAACCTGACATAGATGTAGCATGACAATCATGACATTTAATGAGAATATTTAATTGTCATTTTAATCATACATTTATGATAATTTTGATCGAATAACTAACTAACCAGTGAATCCGTGTTCGTTGAGTTTGGAAGCCAGAAATTCTTGAATTTCTTGTTCTTCAATTCTTACAAGATGGCCACCTTCTTCCTGACAGTAGGACTGAGCACGGTACCAATCAAACCCGTTCACCACTCTCACGATCTCATAGTAAATCTCCTCCACGTCAAGACTGGAATCTGCATCCATGCTGAAGGGAGTACGCTCGCCATCTGCGATATACCATTTTGTTAAGCCATGTGATAGTGTTAAATTTACCAATGAAAATATATAGTACCGTAAACTATTAGTCACAATGTAGAAAAATGAATAATTCTAAATGGCGTGAACTTTAAAGCGTGTTCACTGGTAATTATGTATATTCAATATCTATTCCTAATAAAGCAGAACTATGCTACAAATACTTACAGTATTGACAGAAAAATCCTTCGGTTCGGTCGGCGCACTTTTCTGCAGTCCAGGAAAACCCAGCTACGGAGCTGCAATGTAATAAAGATACAATAAATATACGACATTGTATCCTAAATGTAATATCTTCCAACACACAAACTACTATTTTAAACACACGTACGTTCATTCTTATTGTAAAGACCTATATTTCTGATATATAATTTGAAAAACAGAATTGTTAAGTGAAGCGAGATTTGGTTAAAATTGAAGTTAGATATTGTGTTAGTTCAAGATGGAGAATGGAAATGTCCATTATTAAAAGGTTCCAGAGCCCCGTTAGAATGTTTTTTTTATTGTTGATTGTCGAACAGAGAACTGTTTTCAGCAGCAGGTGCTAAATGAATGTTTCTTTCAATACTGAGTCTGACCACCAATTATAACTATGCAACATTATCTTCCAAATAAGTCACGTTCTAATGTTAGTAGCAATAGCTAGTAAATTTTATAGATAATCTATTTAAAACAAAACAAAAATATTTTTGATACTACTTTCCATTAAGACCATTCAGATTCAGAGTACTTATTTGGAGTGATTGTTTTCACACATAAATAGAATATGCGATTGACCACTTACTTCATTGCTGCACATTTGGCGACTGAAGCTGAATCGTCTTTCAACCCGACATTGTAAATGATTGGTTGTCCGTTCGTGTACACCCAGCCGTGGGTATTAGGATGAGACACAGTGTTTGTTGGATCTAACCAAAACCTCCCTGGAATAGAAAACATACTTCTATTAAACAATGATAACTAGGCTGATAGGCTTTTCGTGCTATTTATTACGTTTTATGTCAAATAATTCATGAACACATTCACATATTTGTTTTTTGACAACAGTTCCAATAAGTGTTTTGGCTTCTCAGATCCGCTTGAAATCCTGATTGGTTATGCCAACTTGTTATCGCCAGCTGACGTCATATCCGAATTTGTGCCAAGCGACTGCATTGTTTCAGGACACCGTCAATGGGACATTTACCCTCAAGTACTCAAGATAGTTTTCATGATTTCATTATTATTACTTGACACGATTACTTCATATATATAAATCCAATAAACATCTGTGACATAAGAAATATTCAAATTATTTACACCAAGTACAGCGACATAATAAACAAGTTGCATGACGGGTCATTTCTTTGACGTCAAATGATGTATACAACTGCATTGTTGGTATAGTCGATTTGAACCGTCATTAGAGGGCGTGATTTTTAAGAAAGGTATTTTACCTTCAATCCCATACTGTGACATGAGATGTGCGTACGTGTCCTGAACTTCAGGTTGCTCTATTCTTAGTAAACTTCCGCCAGTTCCTATACAGTAATTATTAGCATCTTCCCATGTAAATCTGTTTGCTGGTTCGGCTATATAAAATAAATCGATAGCTTTGATTTGCTGTGTGTCTGCCTTGGCATTTGCCTGTTCATCTCGGTCCGGGTATTGCAGGTTGCTGTAGTCTGGTTCATTAACTATCAAATAAATTGATGTATACGTGAGACAAATTAGTAAAAATTTTTAGAATAAATGTATTTAAGAATGGCTATACATTAGATTAGACATTGCTCAAAATAGATTATCTATATGCGGACGGTGAAGGTCTTATAATCAGCCATCCTAAGTTGATCACACCGCGGAAAAGAATCATTTAAATGGCCACAGTCGTCGCGCTGAGCATGTGCGACATTTGTGTCGATAAACATTGATATTCCCACAATCCAATACGCTCTTCTCATAATTCTAATTATCGCCGGTAACTTCTATAATCTAACCATATATAATCTACATCATAACATATTACCCAGACATATTCACAAAATGACTATATACTTACTAAATTGGCAAATATAATTATGACTATTATCACATAGGTCGTGGTTCCACTCATAACCTTCACTCTCACTAAAAATAAAGAAAGTTGTTGAAATTACACTAGATATAGATTTAAATTTAAACCAGTACCTTCTAATATATGAGCAAGAATGTATTTCTTGTATCGATGAACTTACATCCCTAAATGTGACATTCAGAAGAAACACTTCAGAAAGGTTGTTCGGAATTGCAAATCTAATTTAAAAACAATCCCCAAAACAATATACTAAGTATATCACATCTGTTGATTTACTCACAGAAGTTGTGCACAATTCTTATTGACATCGTTTTCCGGAAGTTGACCATTTAACCAATCACTGAAAATCAAGTCTTTACCATCGTGACTATTTATCCAGACTCCTTCATTGTCAGCATCCGTTGGGCTAAACCACCAGTTACCTATAATAGTGAAAATCAAACGGTATGTAGGCAATCTCTCTACGCATGCGTGTAGTCTGTATGAATAGAACACCCTGGACACAGGACGGCGTGTCATTTATCAAATCACCAATTACAAATTTCAAGCCAAAATAATATGTTGCCGAGAAACCAACGAAACACAACACAGAATTTATACATACCGACTAAATTGTAAAGCTGAATCTCTCGTCTTAGATGGTGCTGAACGATGGCATGGGGAATCGTCGCAAGAAATCCACCCCAATATTCACAGTAGTATTTGGCATCGTGCCAACTGACAGGATCTTCAACTATGAGATAGTACAGAGTTTCCATTTGGTGCATATATTCAGCATAATCTGTTTAAAAAAACACACAAATATTTGATGATTACAAGCTAGTATAGAGATTGTTTCTATTGATAATAAATATCTTTAAATATTTTAAATACTATGACTATTTTCCAATAATTTGTGCTTTATTTTGTTTTACACAATGTACACTGTTTGCTTAGTCTCTATTATACTTATCAACATAAATTGAAGTGAGTATGCCAGATTATTTGCTTTACCTTGGTACAGATAGCCATAGATACGTATTTTCAGAGCAAATAAATTTTCCACTTCAATGGGAACTATTTTGAGAAACCGTGCTATGAGTATGAACTGCAATTCAATCTCTTTGACTTCGTCTACATAAGACAACCCTTCCAATTCCTAAAATTGGGGTGACATATATCTATGGTTATATCACGATTCCTAATTCCTTTGTTTCGTTTACTATTAAAAGTCACGTGGTCCAACAACAACAAAACAAATAAACATATGTTTTTGTTTCACTCACAATAAGCTGGCCGTTAGAAGGGTCACCATAAATAAACCAGGCTTCGCCGTCGTCAGAATACTCCAGACGAAATTTCTTGACGAAGGCTTCAAAGTCGGGTCCGCGCACACCGCCAAGAACAATTCGCATAATAGCTACCTGGGCACCGAAATCTAAAACCAGCCACTGGTGGCCTAGATCTTCGTCTCCAGCGACGTATCCAGGACCGTCGAACCCAGGGAACTGATAACCTGGTCGATATGATCCCTGGTCGGTGGTGAGGCTATCCCCACCCAATTCCGACGGGGTTCCTAAAACAAAAACACCAACGTTTCAGTAGCACAATCCACATCGCAATTTTTCCTTGACGATCGGTTAAATTGTATGTATGTTTGTCCATAGACCTTAAAATGTCTTTTAAGGTCTATGGTTTGTCGAGGGAAAAGACCCTCAAGTACTCTAAAAATCAAATATGTAGGGAAGTGAGAGCAGGATATCCATTTTTAATATCATATTATTTAGGTAAAACAGTATTATTTAAACACATTTTATGTTTTGAGATTTTTGTTCTGGCAGTGATGTTATACATATTTGCAAAGTGAGAATGAGACTTCACATTAAAATACAACATAATTATGTAACGCAATGTAAGTTAAGTTTGATGTTTACTTACCTCCTTCGACTTCTCGAGGATCACGGTCACGTGGGGAATTTATTCTCACTGTAGTCGGCGATTTGGCTTCCATGACCCTCGTCGTGTCTAGTGGTAATGCAGGCGTTTGTGATACATTGTTTGATGGCATAGCAGTACTTAGTCTAGACGTAGTTGACATAGTAGT